CTAAGAGAGGGAGAAGGAGGGGAAGAGATTAGATAGAGAGATGGGGAGAGAGAAGAAATAGAGAGAAAAACAGGTTCCGGATACAGGAGAGAAAGGGGTGACTAGTAGAGGCATGTTAGGTATGTTAGTTACCCACAGAGTAGCTATTTCACATCTTCATTCTTTCTAACAAAACCCCATTTGTCTTGTGTCAGGTGGCCATATGTTTGGGGGAAAGTGTGGTCCATCCCCAGGGCATAAGTGTGAATCTAGATTAGTCTAAAGCAATTGTGGTAATGTCCTTTTCTTTTCTAGTGATTAATTTAAGGATAAACATGTGACACAATTCTAGCCAATAAAATAAGAGAAAAACTAAGGGAGTTCTTGGCGATGCCTCTTCATTCTTAGAGGAAGAATTATGACAGGAAATATCTCTTTTCTTTATTTTTTTTAAAATTAAAGTTTATTGGGGGTGACAATGGTTAGTAAAACTAAATAGGTTTCAAGTGTACAATTCTGTAACACATCATTTGGGTATCACATTGTGTGTTCACCCCCCAGAGAAAATGGAACCCTCATACATTGTTGGTCAGAATGCAGATTGGTGCAGCTGCTATGGAAGGCAGTGTGGAGGTTCCTCAAAAAATTAAGAATAGAATTACCATGTTACCCTGCAATCCCTCTCCTGGGTATATACCCAAAAAACCTGAAAACATTTATCTGTAAAGATATACGAATGCTCTGATGTTCATTGCAGCTTTATTTATGGTGGACAAGACATGGAAACAGCCAATGTTTCCTTTGATAGATGACTGGATAAAGAAGATGTGGTTTGTATACACAATGGACTACTACTCTGTCATAAGAAAAGATGAAATAGTGCCATTTGCGACAACATGGATGAATCTTGAGATTATTATGCTAAGTGAAATAAATCAGACAGAAAAAGTTGAGAACCATATGACTTCACTGATATGTGGGATATAAAACTGAAAGCAACAAAGGAACAAGACAAACTAATAAAGAAACAAAAACTCAAAGACACAACAATAGTTCAGTGGTTAGCAGAGGGTGAGGGTGAAATATCTCTTTTCTTAATAATACCTCTGCAAGGGATGCTGGAATTCCCACCTAGTGGTGATCAGCTGTTTTATGGACTGGGAGTTACCTGAAAGAGCTAAACAGTGCACACTGTTTGAAAGGTGATTGCTAGCTTGTTCTTGTACTTTATTTGAAACTGTTTTTATTATTGAAGGACATAGGATTATTTTGAGATCTGAAATACCCATATGTCCTGGGTTATATCAGATAATCATTCTAGTAGGTACAGAAAGAAAAACCCCAGAAGAATTCTTTTATTAAATAGAAATGTAAATTCAAGAAATGCGAAAGGGGGAATCCATTGCACACATGAACAAGTAGCTGCTTTGCCTTTGTGCCCTACGTCAGCTCCTCCTGAGGAGTTAGCAGACTTCATGGCTGGATGAGTCCTTCCCTATGGTCAGCTATTAAATAACAAGCAGTGTGCATTACAGATGGTAACTCAAGAGTGGGGAGCAATCAGCAATCAACCGGGAAAGCAACAGCATAGAGACCAATTAATTGAAGAGGAAAATATAAATCCACTCAATGTGTAGGATTAAGAGTGGTGTGATCTGTGGCACCAAAAAAACTGGATTATATATACTATAATGATATAGTATAGGTTTCACTGGTTCTTGGGTAGTAGTCCATGGACTAGCAGTACAGTCTGCAAAATGGGCCTTAGATGATTGGAAGATAAGGAGAACCATGGTTTATATCAAATAAAGGGTCTGGGTGAAAATAACTCCAATAATAAGAAGTAGTACTTAGTGCTAAAAAGGGAGCCGAAAAATGAGTAATGCAAAAAGGAAAAGTTAACACTATTTTGGTGCCACATAAGAGGTTCAGATCAAGAGGAAAATATTATAATTTAGCTATATTTATAGATGCCCATAAGAGTGAAGTAATTCACTTTCACTTGCAGAAATGATCTTCATCATGTAAGGCTAAAGGTCCAGAATGGGTCCCTGTGGATTTGAGAAGGATTCTGCCTGGAGTCATCTATGTGATGCTGTACATATGATGCAAGTACTGTAACTTTGCTTACTGTATGGTGTGTGGGACACTCATCTTCCTGACCTAGCTTTATGGTAAAACAAAGGATTGTACGTTCATTGATGAGAAAATATTTTGGGATGTTGATCTGAAGCTAGCGCTGAGCTGTCAAGTGACAGAGTAGTGAATGAAATCAACAGGCCATAAATGATCGTATTAGTAAAGTCTTTAATCACTTGCTTCAATAGTATAAGCAAGAGGCTAAAACTAGGGTAAGCACCAACTCCCCGTTTCATTAACCCCCACGGAACAGTGTACCAGTCAAGAGTCAGGTGGATCAGCACAGATGTTGGAGTCATCTTGTTGCTAAGGATGCCCTGAAGAAAGGATCCTGCAGTTTTATGGATCTGGAGGCCCAGGAGGAGGGCAAGGGGGAAGGACTAGCAGGAATGGCAAAGTACTGAGTCAAAGTGGAGAAAAGTGTCTTCAAGATTCCCTGGTAATAAGACCTTCTAATGGAAGTGCCTGGGCTAGGAATGCAGTTATGCATAAGGGCATGGCTGGCCAGGGAGGCTGAGTCCTGGACTTCAACTCCTTGCAGATGCTGTAATGCATTGTCTCTTTACCAAGTCGGGTGTGGGGAGAGCAGCTCTCTCTTATGAAGCATGCCAAAAAGCCTTTGTAATTGCCTATAATCAGGCCTGAAAAATCACATATAGGCTCTTGGCAAAGAGCCAGACTCCTCATATAGAAAAATCTAGGAAAATATGTAAACAAAGTACTAGACATAATAAGTGAATTTAGCAAGCATGGTGAATAAACGCATAACCAC